TTGCCCTCCCCCCGCCACGGGCCTTCCCCCCTTTGGTTTTTTGGGGGTTTGGGAAGTGCGCCCCCCCCCAGGTCGGTGGGTCAATTTCCCCAGGCGTGCTGGCTCTCCAAAGAATGAAGAGAAAACTGGGGGGGGGCCTTCTGCACACCCTCCCTGGATCAAGAACCTCGCTACAGCCAGGAGGGGGAGCCGGGGGAGCAGTTTCCATTGCTCTCCTGAAACAACAGGCCTCCCTTCTGCACTGGGGGGGCTCCCTTGTCCCAAGGCCCTCTGCCTCCGTGGCCTGCCAACCCAATTCCTGCCTGCTCTCGCAGGTGGGCAGACGAGGGGGCAGGTTGGAGTCTGACCACAGCAGCCACCAGGAAAAAAAGGGAGGGGGCTTTTCTTGAACCCTCTTTTACCCCAGCAATCCTGATGCTGGAAGGGACTCATCAGTGGCACAGGCACAAGCCAGGGGGAGAGGCTGCATGGGAAGCCAGCGGTGGTGGTGATGGCACCCCAGTGGGTGTTTCCTCCCTTCTGAAAGGACTCTGAGTGGTGGCTGGAAGGAGCGTTTCCAGAGATCTCCCGCGAAAGGTTTGGGTGAGTTTTCTACCCCACCCCCAGAAGCATTTTCGCAAAGGCAGGTGCCCCACAAAGCCCAAGGAGGAGGGGTTGAGTTTCGGGGAGGGGTCTCAACTCCTTCCCCACATGGCAGGAGACAACGTTTTCTTATTTTTCTTTAATCCTCCCGTGATCCGCCAACTTTCTGAAAGAAAAGCCAGTTTTTTGCCATGCCCAGATTCTTTGGGCTGCCCTCGCGGCGGGAGGGGGGAACCTCTCCCCCACGCCCCCTTCAGTGCAGCAGCCCATCACCCTCCTCAGCGAATATTCTGGGTCTTCCTGTCATGGGAAACCTGCCAGGAGATCGGAGAACCTGGGAGCCTCCCTCCCTCCAGCTCCTGGTCCCAGAATCCCATCTGTGGCCAAGCTGAGCAGCCCCTCAGTGGAGACGCTCTGCCCCCCCCCCCCGGCCATATCCAGCCTCCCCAGTGGAAGCGTGTGCAGGGAGATGGCCAAGGAGCATCATTCACTTATGAAGCTCGCTGCCCCGAGGGATATATTTGATTAATGAAATAAATAAATGGGATGTGGTTACAGCTCCTTCCCCCCCCCTTTTTAAGGGGAACTGGAGGACTGTAAGATGCCAGAATGGGGGTGAGGGTGGGGGGCACTTTAATTCTCCTTTAACTGCAAAGATGGCCTGAGAAAGGACTGAAGTTTTTCCAGACAAAGGAGGGAGCGTGGACTGGGATCCCCTCAATTCCTGCTGGCTGTTTTCAGTTTAGGCCCACTCTTTAGCTTGACCAGGGACTGACATGAAACCCCAGAGCTAAGCACCCCTCAAGGGGGCACCAGGCAACCAGTCCCTCCAGCCTCCAGACCAGCCTGACCCTGGGTCCCCCAAAAGGCTCACCTTGGAAAGCAAGCAAAGAACCACAAGGAGCCAGTCCAACTTTTAAGGGCCACCCAAAATGTTGCCAAGTGGTGAACAAGCTGTGTGGCCGGGGGTGCAATTCCTCCTTCTGGGGGGTTTGGCTAAGAAAAATGAAACGGGGGTGGTGGTGGTGGATGTGGAAGAGCTTTTCTTTAGGAGAACATCTCGGCTTGCACCAGGCACCACCCCCAGACCAGAAGTGGGGTGCTCTGACTTGGAAAGAGGGGAGCCGGCCGTCCAGCGGAGCACTCACCGTTGGAATGGGTTGTCCCTCGCGATCCCTGCCCCGACACCGAGGCTCACCGGCTAGTCCGACGACCCTTCGGGAGAGGACCGGAAAAGCAGACCCCTCTTCCCCCCACCCCGGCAGGGTCGCCTAGACCGACCCTTTCAGGAGGCCAGGATCCAGGAGGGCCCCGGGCCCTGAACCCCTCCCGGCCGGGGCCGCCGCCTTTCTCTTTCCCGCGCCGCCTTTCACTCCCGGTGAACGGGGCGGCCCTCAAGCCGCTCA